ACCCCCCACGTCACCGCAGTCAGTGCCCCCTGAAGCCCCACCCCCTGAACAAATGGGAACATGTACCCCCCCCAGTGTGTCTTCCTCCACCTAGCATAATCATCACCAGCAGGGGGCAGTGTGGTTTTGGGCTTTGCCGTAAACAGGTGAGGTGCGATGATTCCCGCGCACTCCTGGGATGGAGTGATCTTAACCCCACTCTGCTGCTGGTTTTGGGTGAGCTTGCGTGGCCCCTGTACACAGTCCAGCTCATCTGAGTGAGTCAGCTGACAGCAGGGGGGGGCACTTAACTGGTTAAGGAGTGGTAATTACAAAAGCATGGTTATAACTGCATCGCAAACCATAATGAACCTATTAACCCCTATTATTGCTGGTTGCACTGATTGTAAAGTAAGTAAGCAAGTTGTATGGTAATGTTGGGCTGGCCCTGCGCTTCTGCCTCCCCCCGCTGCCTCCTCAGTGGTACGAGCCATCGCAGTTTGGCACCTGGTGGGCCTTGCTGATCTGCAGCATGAACCTGGCCGGCGGATTGGGCCCGGTGGTCACCACGGTGATGGCGCACAGCTACAGCTGGCGCTCCATCCTCTGCGCCTCAGGCCTCGTCTGCATGGCCACCGCCTTCCTCTGCCTGCTGTTCATCAAGAACGAGCCCAGCAGCGTGGGGCTGCCCAGCATCGAACCCGGGACCAAGAAGGGCAAGAAGGGTGAGAGGGCCGGTCCGTGGGCGGTGCTACTTACACCCTGATTGGCCACAAGAGCTCGGATTCTGTGTACTGTCCTTCCCTCGGGTTCTCTAAGGTTAATGATAAGGGTTAAGTCCCCGCCTTGTACAGAGCTTGCATGCATTCCCTGTGTTATGCCAGGCACACAGCTAGACAACCTTAAGTATCCAAATTGCCCACTGTGTGTGTGCCGTGTAATAACCTCCCATTCGGGGGATTCCCCTGGCGTGCGCCCAGTGCATCCTGGGATAGGCGCCCGGCCCTTCCTGCATCCCTATACTAGGCTTTTTTTTTAGGGTGGGTAGCATAAGAGGATCCATAATTCATATAGAGGGGCCAACCTTGTCATTAGCCAATGATATGTTTTGCATCGGTGAGTGACAGGGGAAGGAGCACTCTGGGGGCCAATCAGCTTTCAGCTGGGGACAGTGCCCCTGTGGTCCCGCCCCTGTATACCACCCTAATAAGAAGTTCTAGTGGATGGATTATTGCACTATTTTACCATTAAGGCACACAAAGGTAAAACAGCAACCCCCCCCTGGATCTTGGACCTATAGCCTTCTGGTGAAGAGCTATGAGCACAAAGCCTTTACTTGTATTTGAAATGTTCACTAAAGTGAAGTGAAGTTACTGTTCGCCGGCTTCCCCTCCAGCCTGTGGCTGACGGACAGACACTGAGCAGCTGCTACAGCCAGTCGTTTGATCCTTTTCACTGGCATTTGGCTTGAGTGGATAGAAATAGCTGCTTTTATAAAAATAAACGATCTCTGATTGGCAGTATTTTTTGCACATCCGGTGGGACTGACCAGAATATCCCTGGACCCTATCCAGGGAGGAGGGGCAGCCTGTGGGGGCCTGTAACCCTGTCTCTCTCCCCTCAGGAGCCCAGAGTGACGAGAGCACCCTTGGGGAGTTCCTGCTTTCCCCCTACCTGTGGGTCCTATCCATGGGCTTTCTGATGGTGTTCGGAGTGAAAACGGCCTGTTCAGACTGGGGGCAGCTCTATCTCATCCAGGAGAAGGGCCAGTCAGCTCTCATCGGTAGGCCGACGGCGGGACCCTGGGCTTCTCACATGGGCAAAGTCCGATCCCCAGCCAGCAGCAGATGCTCACTCCAAGAGCTTTGGAGAACATTCTCTGACAGAGTGTGTCAGAGCGCTCAAGTAAAACATTGTAGCATCGTTCAGCTGTTGTTGGGTACAAAGCTGACCAACAAAGAACGTGATTGTAATATTCCTACGACATGGACACATTTGGGGAGACGTTCCTTACAACTTGAAGAGAACCTTCTGGAAACCAAAGCCTAACCCCTGGCAGTAATGGCTGACAGCACTGATTTGAGTGTGTTTGTGTCCCAGGTAGCTCCTTCATGAGTTCCCTAGAGGTTGGAGGCCTGGTGGGTAGCGTGGCAGCAGGGTACCTGACGGACAAGGCCGTCGCTAAGGTTTGTGGGATGTTTCTTTTGCGTTAGCGCTCATAGTGACACGGAACAGAACCCTCTGATCACCTCATATTACATTCAGGACCGGCCCAAGGCATAAGCAAACTAAGCAGCTGCTTAGGGTCCAGCCGCCATCAGGGGGCGTCCCCGCCCCCCCCCCCCCGCATGGTAGTATGAGCAGGAACATGACAGATGACAAGATTAATCAGATTTCGCTTAGGGCCCCAAAAAGGGGAGGGCAGCCCTGATTACATTTATCAGGGAATTCAAATAGACTTTGTGAAGGTTACAGTGTTACGACGGTGGCAGAGAAGAAGAGAATGGAGGAGGATAAATATCCTAGGGGTGTCCCGCCCACATGGCTCCCCGGCCACCCCAGACATGAATACCTTCTAGACAAGTAGCAAGTGAGCGTCATGTTACTAGAAGCAGGTGGGTAGCGTAGTTGGTGCCCCCTGATACCGCCAGCCTTTATGTCTTCCGCTCTCTGATCATGTGACCGCCACTTCCTGCATGCCGTGTGCCGTTCATCATGTGACCGCCTCTCCCCACATGCTGCGCACCATCCAGCAAGGCCTACGCACCCACGGCAGCCCCCGTCACAACCTTCTCATCTCCATGATGGCTGGGATGTTTGTTTCCATGTACCTGTTCAGAGTCACCGTCACGCCTATTAAAGTAAGACGACGCTCTTCACATAGAGCTTCATCCTTTATAAGGATGTTTTTTGCTGTTAGCCTTTTCTATAGCTCTCCGCCTTCTCCGCCTGCTCATTGGACCCACCTGGTGTCACTCTTCTGTGTCACTTAGGAAGCTCCCGCCTGGTTGATGGTTCTGCACCCTCTCTCAATCCTGACGGGTTTATCAGAGCAAGAGGTTCCCAAGTCTCCTCCCTTCTAAGCTCACGTCCAAAAGCCTGGACCGCCGATATTGATATTGCTAAAGCTGTGCTTGACACAGCTACAAAGATTTTGGTCTTAATGTTACTATACTCATCAGAACACACCAAACAGTAATAAACAGAATATAAATAGACATAGTAAGACAGTACATTTACATACCAGATTTGCACAATCTTTCCCCGCCAGCTGTGTGTGGTCTGTGTGTTAATGTGACTAGGTTGTGTTACTGTGTCTAGGTCTTAATGTCCATGTCTTAAACAGTCATGTTCATATATCTCAGTATCTCTATTCTATTTATTACCTCTACTTGCACTGTGACCAACAATAACGACATTTCACCAAACGTCACACATCTAAAGTTGACCATAAAAGATTTTTGACTCTTTGGGGAGCTCCTCAGGAAGGCGCACTGTCTGCCTCTGACTCTGCAGATCTGGATACTTGTCCTGGGGGCCGCGTTCGGCTTCTGTTCCTGCGGCCCCATCGCCCTCTTCGGTGTGATAGCCAGTGAGAACGCCCCTTCCAACTACTGTGGGACTTCCCATGCCATCGTGGCTCTGACTGCCAACGGTGAGGTTCGGCCATCTTGTACCAGCGGTTTTGCATTTGACTTCCTGAAGCTCCTTGCAAATCCCATGCTAACCATTGACAAAGTGGGTCTATATTCGCTTAGTTTTCTACGTTCTGATGGAACTAATACTGGAAGGTGTTTTCTTTTTATTGGACAGTTGGGGCTTTCCTCGCGGGGCTCCCGTTCAGCACCATTGCCAAGCACCACAGTTGGGACACGGCCTTCTGGGTCGCCGAGCTCGTCTGCATCGCGACTACAGCTGGATTCTTCCTACTGCGCAACATCCGCACCAAGATGGGCCATGGGCATGCTAAGGCTAACTGAGGGCCACACCCCTCAGTCCTCCACAGCCAATGGGGACAACCATCTGGGGGCACCACCCAGTTTGCTCTCTTATTGGTCAGCATGACAGACGTCTTGGCCAATCAAGCCGCTGAAAACGCAGCAGTACCCACAGTATAAAAGTTTAATATATTATTTTGTTGTAACATGCACATTTGCGTGATAGGAAACCTCAACTTTCTCATGAAGATTTGTGTCTACACCACAGTAAGATGAGAACTTTTAAAAAGGTCCTGAAGGCGACATATAAACTCAGGTCTCAGAAATTCAAATCCAGCTCAAACACTTCTACACATGACATTATAGAAGATGCTTCTTCTTAAATTCATAGTAGGCCTATAGAATGGTGGTTAACCAGTCTTAGTGGATTTATAATTTTATATATTGTCTATCTGAATGGACCACTACATTCTCACCTGTTCAAGTACACAGCATTAATAGGTTTGAAGAACACTGCACAAGGTTTAATGTATAATATTAAATACCCGTAGCGGATCATTACTGCTGTGACCCCACAGAGGGATGAATCTTGTAACGATCAAAGATAACAACCGCATCCCATGGTAATTCACATAATTTAAGCGGTGTCATCTGCCGTTTTAAAAGTTTATTGGCCTCAGTAGGAATTGGGGAGATTCAGTAAAAGGTGAATCTTATTCAATTTTAATTTAAGCATTTTAATTAAAGACGAATAAGAACAAATGCCGTTTGACTGGTCGTCTGATGTGAAACCTACATATCGATCCAGAAACTATTTTACCGTTCTGTAGTATAAATAGTTCATGGTAAGCTCCAAGACGCTACATTTCTTTAGACGCAAATAACGTGTTCAAAAACGATTAGTTTACTTGCAAAAGTCAAATGATGGTGCACTGAATATCCTAATATATAATATATGTTTATCACCTTCATGCGGCGCTTAGGCAATGCCGCAGATACGTCTTACGTTGTAAATGCGTTCTTCATGCTGGAACAAAATTCAGGTTACCTGGTAACCTGTGTAAAAACTACGTTTCCCAGAAAGCAGCCAGCGGTATTTCCGGGTGTGGTAGCATTACGGGTTTTCTAAAGGACTATGCAGGGGCTAAACTTCCTCTCTTTACAGGTTCAGCCGGTGCAGCAACATGGTGAGGAGGCCTGCACCGATAAACTAAAACAAGTTGTGTTTTCTAATGAAAGTGGTAAAACTATGTACCGGGATGTGGTACTCGTAACAATGTAGTACCGTAATTGTCAAAATACTAGTGTCATTCGACAGCGGTTAGCATTTCAGGTCAACGCTATGCTTGTGATGCTAATTTGCTAACTCTTATACAATCCCCACTCTCTCCACATTGAGAATTAGCAAGCTAGCTAAATCCTTATCCCTTTAGATGCCTTCTTCTGGTTAAATAGGTGACAACAAAATCTAAAATACCGTAGTCAAAATTCTGCTTGAACCGCCCTAAAATCTTAACGAAAATATACTTTGTGCCCACGTAAGCTGACAAATATACCAGTGAGCAGTGTCAAGTGGGTGCCGTCGCGGTTTATGTACCGGTAATTGACTACAGCAGGGGTGGGCAGTCTTATCCGCAAAGGGCCAGTGTGTATGCAGGCTTTTGGGATGAGATTTGGGTCAGCTGTTCTGACACCCAGGCGTGCGGACTCTTCATCCAATCGGTCCTCTAATTAGTAATCTAATTAGGCAGTTGCTGCGAGAACCTGCATAAACAACGGCTCTTTCTGGATAAGATTGGCCATCCCTGATCTATAGCCACGATCGGTTCGGTATTTTTAGCATCATTAATTTGGTTGGTGTGAGGTGTAGTCAGGTGGTTAGGTTTGACAATTGGTCTTAGCCAGTGTGCGAAATACCCGTCAATATTTGGGGTCCCCATCTCCCTATTGTTGCGCAATACCGATCTAAATTTTCTCTTTTGAGGCTTTCAGGGGGTCTCATGGATTAATCAGGGGTGTCGGACCCCCCCCCCCCTGTATTTTGCACACTGGTCTTAGCATTTCTGCATCTGCGGATCATTTTTACGGCAAAGAAAGTGCTTCTGAGTTGAATACGACCTGAGTGGGTGTCATTTTTCTTTCTTTTGCACAGCCTCCCAAGGATGACAAGAAAAAGAAGGATCCAGGCAAGGCCAAAAAGGACAAGGACCCAGTCAACAAGTCTGGTGGCAAAGCAAAGAAAAAGGTAAAGCTGTGTGTGTGTGTGAGAGAGAGATGGTGGGCTTGGCTATTAGCAGGCTGTTCTGCAGGAATCAGCAGCAGGCCATGTGTTTTGAGCCGGAAGTTGTTTGTTTTTCTTGCATATGTATTAGTCATACTTATGTCTGGTCTCTATGTAGATCAGGGGTGGGGAACCTGTTCCATGGAGGCCTCTCCAGTCCGGGAGACCCACTGTTATTGGCTGACTGAAAGGCCATCCCAAAAACCGGCCCTCCATGGATCAGGTTCCCCACCCCTGATGTAGACTGAAGCTGCAGTAGCATCTAGTCAGTGCAAAGGCTCTTGTTCCCAGTACACTAGGGCTGTACGTGCCTCTCACAGTTTTATGTATTTAGTTCCGTGTCATACTTTTAAACCAAAGCAACTTGCCTATACCATTCTGCGTACCGGGGTACACGGTGTCCCACCATGGTGGGGTCTGATACCTGCTGAGCACATGGTGAAATGACTGTACTCTGTATCTGTGAGCAGAAGTGGTCCAAAGGGAAGGTGAGGGACAAGCTGAACAACCTGGTGCTCTTTGACAAGGCCACCTACGACAAGCTGTACAAGGAGGTGCCCAACTACAAGCTGATCACGCCAGCCGTGGTCTCGGAGAGGCTGAAAATTCGTGGCTCCCTGGCCAGAGCTGCACTCCAGGAGCTGCTTAGCAAAGGTTTGTGTGTGTGTGTGTGTGTGTGTGTGTGTGTGAGTGTGAGACCTCCTCCAGCACTTTCGCTTTTCTATTGACTTCTGGTTCGAGTACCAGTACCGAAAGTGCCAAACCAGCTGGGGTACTTCTTTGGTACTTTTGGGGCGGGACTTGAAACGCTTCCTTTGGTTATGCAAATAGCCTGCCTCTGAAACACATTACAAACGCCGCCTTGAAAACAACACCTGCAAAATCAGAAAATAATGATAAACGAAGAAACAAAAAAAAAAAGCTATTTGGTACTTTCTTGAAGTACCAAAATTACAGTACCTGGTGCAGTGGAAAAGCGCCCTTAAAGACAGATTTAGGGAACAGAACTTGTTCATGGCTGTATTATTCAGGATGGCGTGCTGTAAAATGCTCTCTTCTCTCTGCCCAGGCCTGATCAAGCTGGTGTCAAAACACAAAGCACAGATCATCTATACACGGAACACCAAAGGGGGCGAGGAGGCTCCTCCTGAGAAGGAGGCCTAGGAGGTGGGTGGCGGAATGCTCTGGAACAGGCCTCTGAATTTCCGTAGTATGTGACACTGGTGAAGCTAGTCTTCTCCCATTTGCTGGCCATTAAGAATTTGTCTTTGTATTTAGCCAGTCCATCATTAGTATTTGGAGAAGAGTGAGTTGTTTTTGTGGCATCTCAGATCCCTGAAGTTCTGACACATTCTCTCGGTTGACCTAAGTGTTCCTGTGTGTCAGTTTGCTTCTGTTGGACTTCCCTGCAGATGAACTACCCTGACATGCTTTGAAAAGGAAACTTGTTTGTCTTTCAGGTTCTCATTCAGCAGAAGACCTGGCTTTGTACAATGTTAAGTAAAAGCTATAAATACAAGTAGTGCTTTGTCATTTTTGTTGGTTTTTCCACAACATGGCAGATCATGTAAGTTCAGATTCACTTTACCGTTTTGTCGCTGATGTGTGAAAACTTCCCCAAAACCCCTTTAGTGCTATAAGAATTTTTACCGACAAACAGTGTGCAAGACCATGCATGGTATCTGACAGCATGCAGGACCACACTTCTGTGCATGCTCTCTGACAGCGTGCAAAACTATACCTCTCCTGTGCAGACCGCACAACCCCTGTGCATGCACTCTGAAAGTGTGCAAGGATACACCGCTCTTGTGCATGCCCTCTGACAGCTTGCAAGACTGCACCGCTCCTGTGCAGGCACTCTTACAAGAGATCATACCGTTCCTGTGCATCGTGGACACACCCACACACAGAGCCCCGGATGGGGTTCATCTTCTGTACACTTTGGAAATGGGCAACACTGCAAATTACTTTTTTTCTGGTTAAAATCTTCCTCCAGTCCCCAATCCCACCTTCCTGATGATTTGATAAAGGTTGACTGTCTTGAGAAGTAACAGCGCATTCAGAGTGGTGAAGCTGTTTAGCATGTAGGCTAACTTTAAATCATGGGAGAAATGTGCATGTGGCGCCACCTAGTGTGGAAAACTGCACCCCAATTCCAAGAGCTAAAAACGAAGAAGAACCCAGATGAAAACACCTTTTCCAAAGCAAAACGGTCACAACTTTTGTCTTTAGCTGGCCAAGTAATGGTCACCGCAAGCGGTATCCCTTTTTGCTTATTTCCCCAGCTTATCATTTTTGCCAGTATTCCCAGTGAGCACGACTCTGCTTATAAACGGGACACCAGTCCATCACTGATTTGTGCCAATCCAGAAAGGCACCGACTTTACTGTGCCGAAGCAACGCATTTTGGAAGGTTAGGGGAACACGGCTCCGAGCCCATGAACGGGACGAAAATGTCTGCACTGACTCAGGATCAGATTCTGAGCCACATCAGCGGTCCCAGGGGTGCCCAAACCACTAACGCTGATCATGTCCCAGGAAAGCCCATAAAATGAGAGTGACAGCCTGTCAGCGGATAAAACGCCCAAAAATACACTTCATATCATAACCGTCCAGTCACGGTGGAATATAAATGGATATATATTTTAATTGGCCTGTCTTATTATCAGACCTACTAGTATGGATGCCGTTGTCTTGCTGGAAGTGTAATGTAATCAAAATGGGGGTAGTGTAAAGGTTTTTAAGTAGAAAATATTACATTTGGACTATTTAGACCATCGCAAACGCCACGGACCGCCCGGTGTACAGCGATAGTATGGATGGAATAACCGCTGAGCGCATCCTGACGGCTGGAGTGGTAAACCCTTAATGGGATTATACAACACCGTTATTGGGAAGTTGCCAGGCCAAGTACTTTGTATGTTTTAGAGGAGCCGTGCTCATCAGGAGAAGCCTGCGAGCTCACATCCCAAGGAGACGCTGCCTAATGCACTGAGATGCTGCTCTAGAAGTGCGGTGCGCATGTAAATCCTAAAATGGATTTTGGGGGCCATTAAAGAAGTCCACCATTCTGTGAAAGTTTCGGAGACCCGGAGAGTGCCTACTCTTTGATATTCACCATTAGAAACTGCGAGGACTAGAGCTAAGTGGATATAAGAAGATCGCTTATTAGAGCGGCGATCACCAATGTGTTTGGTAATGAGACGCCAAAATGTGCCCTTACGGGTTCGTAATTTGTGGTTTGACCGATATGCATTGAGACTCCATTTGTGAATAGCGGTAATGATATAGCCTATATAATACTATGCTTACAAATTAAGTCACCTTCAGCCGCGTATGGAAGAAAAGTGGAAAGCAATCGCTACACGCAGATTTCACAACTCACTCTTCCGTTTGTTTCCGGTTTCGATGTCATTCGTCCCAAAAACAGGAGATATTTTAAAGGAAATTATTATACTGATATTCACCTCGGAAAAGCAGAGTGCGTTAATTTGCATGACAATAACGAAATACAAATTTCGATTAGACCTAATACACAAATCAGGTAGCACGCATCTTTTTTTTTTTATTTCACCGGGTATTTAAGGTGTTTCAGAATAAAAATGGGACCGTGGACTGATTCCGCCAAGAAGCGGCTATCAGCAGCGATTGCAATTAACAGCATAATCCCATATCTATGATCAAAATGTTCGCATTGACAGAGAGCATCACTGTAAGCCAGCAGCATACGGGATATGAATACAGCGGTGCAAATACATGTAGCCTATGTAATATGCATTTTACAAAGGTTGATTAAAAACGTAAAGGTTTTTGAGGTGCAAATGCCGAGCCCTGGGCGGATGTGACCGTCCTCGCTAACACGATTCCCCCAGCCTTGCGTATCTAGCCCAGATATAAAATTCTGCCTCTTTTCCCCCGAAAAGAAAGGCTATTAAATCGGAGCCTGCTGTTCACGTCTATGTTTCCATCGAATAAAAGGGCCAGGCTGAAATAATATGTTTCATAATTAACGAATATAGTTACTTTATTAGCGGGAAGACAACAGTGGAAAAGTAGGCAGATACTGATAAATATTAATACTAGATCCTCGTCGAGAAATGTGTGCCGTTTAGCAATGTAGTGATATTGTATATTTAAGCTTATAGTAATCTTTGGGTTCCTTCGTTTTTAGTAAATCGATCAGCTAAATTGATGGGGTTTTTGACACCGTTAACATTGTCCTGCCATTTTCCCCCATTGGCTTCGGTTTTATTATTATTTTATTATTATTCTTCAGGCATAGAGGTTTTTTTCAATGACAAACTCCCGCTGAAGGGGATACGCTTGGGGTTTTATGAAATAAATATGAGAATATAGAAATATACACAAAACATCTAAATCGCTAAAATGTTATTTCAATCGAATTGTTCAGACGCCGTGATACAAACGAAGGGTCCACTCAAGGAGTCCGCATTCACACTGACAAATGTCACTTATGTAAGCAATAGGAACGAATATGTCCCTTTGACTATAGGTATAGATGGAATTGACCGACAGACAATTAGCCAACACATAGAATTAATTTACATATATTAATATTTATTCTTAGACTCTTTGCACTGCCTTTCACTTTACGGCCAATTGCACACTATGGGTAATTATTGTTTGATGTTTATTGTTTAATGCATTTTTTATATTGCACATTTTACTGAATATAACAAATAAAACGTTGACTTTGACTTAAGACATTCCCCCAGAAGGGCTCATCTTCTCTCTGGATCCTCGTGGCATGTTCAAGGATGTGATACAATAGCATTACCGATATTAATTTTACTTCCTTTTCAGTAGGTGTAATCAAGTTCAATAGGAGTTTTCGTCTTCGTTTTGGATCTTTCACTGCAAAGTCCACTATACGCTTCACGGAAATACACCGCCTGGCTTATTGGCGCGAGAACAAGTGAAAGACGCGACATGTGCATAGAAAAACCTTTCCTCAAAAGCACAATTTTGCAAAGTCCATGATTATTTAATACATGCAAATTTGTTTTGACTTTAGAGAGGAATACATTGAGACAACATGAATTTACTTGTAAATGATGTGCAGGTCCCAAGCTAACCTGTAATCATCCTGGAATACGGCATTATTTCAGCCTTTCGTGTTGATTTTGCTGGCTATGCGCCAATATTGATACCCTTTTTACAAGAAGTACTTCCTAGCAATGCTGAATATAAAGTTTATTGCAACCGGAGTCCTCTGATGGTCAAGACGGTGCTACCAATTCCCCGACATAATGTACCAAAATTTGGGTTTCAGTCCAATCCATCCATCTTTCAACCGGTTATGCAGTAATGAATAAGCTCTTTGAGTATTTAAGTAAAACACGAAAATATCACCTGTCATTTATTGGTTTATTTATACCAATCATTACAGATACAGCTATAAACAGAGAAAAAAAAATCTGTACACTTTGATTTTCTTTTTATAACCTAAAACCCACATGTGGATATTGCTACTGCTGGTTTGCTCAATGAACATAGTTGTTACATCCCAGTGTCCTTATAAAATGAACATTTATCACCAGTATGTTTAACACTGATACGCATGTTATTAGCTTTGCTAAGAACACAGATATTCCTTTAGCCGTCCTCACCAAGCACCATCACGCAAGGTGGTCAGAAATGTTGACGAAACGCGTCGTTTTTCCTCTTTTCCCCACAGCAGCCGTACAATTTATTGCAACGCTATCACAAAAACATAAGATGTAACGAACACACGCAACATACTGACCAGAAAGGGGGTCAACTCAGGAACTACAGGGGATACTTATTAAGCAGTACTGCCGTAAGAAAAACCACACGAGCGTTAACATTTATAGAACACAGCTTACAAACAAACATTCTAGAATTTAACAGTTATAAACAATTAAACTACGCGTTAACTGAGCCGCTCCACCCCACCCTGACACATAAAGCCTATGGAATGTAAGTATTTGAAAGTAAGCCTCCTGCTGTACAATAGATACCTTTAAAACAGAAGGCTCGCTCGCTCAACACTGACCCCTTTTAGCACCCTAACCCAACCCGCTCTCCCCTTTACCCGAGAAATAAAACTCACTGACATTTACAATGGCTAATATCTTTTTCCGAAGGTTTAAAAACGTGGGATGTTGCGGAAATCCCGACCAAAATGTAATTTCCTTTGTTTTCTTAAAAAATGTGTTTCTACAATCAAACTACTAAAAAACCTGCATTTTACAAAATAGTAAGTAAAAATATTCCCCTGAATTGTACAAGAGAAGAGGTACAGGGATCTCTGGTGACAGGTGAGATGGATTATTTATCCCCCTCTTTCTGTTTTTCAGCGTTCTCTGTGGCTGGTGCCTAGGAATTTGAACAAATACAATTACATTCTTAAATGCACATTTACAAAAATCAGCAGTAACTCAAAAACAACCACCAGACTGTTAATGCCTTCAGGAGACATCCCTCCCTAAATCTGGTGATTTGCATATTTACAATTTTTTTTTTACCATTTCTGCAATCCATTTGCAAAACTGAATACTCCGCAGAGAAAAAAAAATCTGCACAATTTTGCACAGCAGGAAAGCTACTTGGGCCTTTAACCAATATGCCCCCTGCTGACGGCGAATACTTAAAACAAATACCTAAATTTCTCCAGCTTTGACCAGAGTACCCGCCACCCTAGTCGGTGTCTCTGTGCCCTACCCCGCCCCTCCTCACCCCCTCGTCCGTTTTGGCCTCTCCGTTCTCTGCAGGAGTCTCTTCCTTCTTTTCTTCTGGTTTGGCTTTCTCAGCATCCTTCGTCTTCTTCGGCTTTGCAGGCGCCTTCTATAGAGAGCCAGACACCTCACAGCTCAGCGAATTAACCCAGGAAGAAACTTCAGAAATAATTGTCACCTCCTATTAATTCAGTTTAAATGGCCAGACCCCCCCCCACAGACTGTAAGGTCTCCCTAACACATCTGTCTCCTTCCCAGGATTATTTACATTCCAGATTCAAAAGATGTTAATTAAAAACTAATGCAACTTATTTAATTTACCTTTGGCTTTGGCTCTGATTTTGGGGTTGCAGGTTTCTGAAATATTGATTAAACAAATGTGATACATGATAATTGTGGGTATAGATTGTGAGTAAACACAGGCAGCATTAACCTGACATGAACTTACATTGATCAACCTCTCAGATCTCCTTTTAGGCTGGAAAAAGAAAGAAAACAGCACTTAGTATTTCCACAGAAGGCTGGACAGTACAGTTCCCTCTTAAGTTATGGTAAAACTGAATAATGGCTTAACCTCTGACATCTGAAGAAAGCTGTTTGACATACCTCCTTAGCTTCAGTGTCATTGTTTGCCTGCAGAGAGGAGATGTTGGAAAATTAACACAGATTAAAAAAATGCAAAATAAATAAATAAATAAATAGTAATCTAGTCTAATAGACAAGGGGGCAAAATCGGCTATTTATACTGTTATGCAACTGAATAAAAGTTCACAGGAAAAGTACAGGCGGCCTGGCTGTTACAACCAAAGATGTACTCGCCATATTTGCTCATACATTAAGTGTAATTAACGCTGTACAGCGGTTCCAGCTCACGCGGCGCTGAAGAGCGCGTGGGGGGAGGGGACATGTAGCCCTGCCCCCAAGGCCGGCCCCACCCCTCCTGCACTTCTGCTCCGCCCCCAGCGTCAGCTCGCGGTTAATAAGCGGGGGGGTCTGGCCGGCTGCGTGGAGAGCGGCGCGCGCCTTCCCGCCACTCGTTCGAATGTGGAACCGCGCGATCGTCCGCGTTCGCCCGAGCCGCTGCAGAACGTGCTGGAATCCTGCGCGGCGCTGTGATGTCGGGCGTCGGGGACGCGCCATTGCATAACGCGGCGGCTCGGCTGGGAGCAGGAAGATAAAAGCGACCTGCAGCGGAGCGCTCCTCCATTTTTCTGTTACAGAAGCGTACCCTCGAGACAATCCCTTTGTTTTTGCAATATCACACAACACGATTTTGAGTGTAATGAGGTGAACGTGCGGAAAGGGGAGGGAGGGGTGGCGACAGTAGGAAGCGAGCGAATGTTCTTCTCGCGTAAGGGTAGCCATGACACACCAAGACTTTATGCCCTTTTCCAAGACACCAAGGGAATCGTGCAGTACATGTTCGCTGCCCCTCTATGCGAGCACACACATTTTATACGTGTCAATATTTAACAGGTTATTATATACCAGCCACACGCAAACGAAAAATGTTTTATTATTGTTGTTATTTTTGCATTTGCGTGCAAAGTTTTTTTTTTTTTTTTTTGCAAAACCCATAGATCGTTACCCAAACACACAAGCTACCGATACTCATCGTCGTCAAAATAACGACCGCAAGAAAATGCAAACGAAGAAAGTTTTATTTTGTTAGTATGCGCAGCAGCATAAATTATTACTAGAAGTAGAAAGCTATCCCCTAAAAACGAAGGCAGGGAGATCAGACGGAGAGAACGCGCCACTTCCCAAATCAAAACAGACGAGAGACATCTAACCCTCTGCCCAAACAGAAAAGTGCAACACAGCTGCATCTCGGTTTATCGCAATGCAACGGATGCGTTTTCGGTGATTACGTACCAAATGCATTTTAAATACTTGTTGCAATGTTAATTACATAAAATGTAAACATCAATTAACGGCATTTCACTTACTTTGTTTCTTTTCGGCATGTTTCACTCTCTCGCTCTTCTATTTTTTTTTTTTTTTACAAGTAAAATACTGCGGGAAATATTCCCTCTGTGGATATGTGGGGGGGAAATACAGTACAACGTTAACTTAAAGTGTAAAGCTGTACCTTCTACCAGAGTCTAACCAGACTATAATGTTTCACCGAAACAAAAACTAGCTCAAACCGGATTGGATTCTCTCTCTCCCCCTTCTCTATTCTATTCATTATAGCAGCAACCTGACGGGGAACCTACACTCCGCCCCTCGCTCCTCTTCTCATTGGACTTGGGATTCGCCGAGACATTTTTAAATCATAGCAACATACCTGTGCGGGTATGCTAGCTAATGCAGCACGTATATTTAGCACGCCACTGTTATTTTATTTGCAGAGTCTTGGCCAGAATAGTGGTGTTGACATCACCTACGTATGCTTCCATTTTTTTTTACAGTGATCTTCGATTTTATTTTTTCCCTTTTCCTCAGATTCGTGGTCTACACGTCAGACCAATCCCTCTCGCCTGAATGATCTGTGGGTGACTCGCATTTAACACAAGATCAACACACCACACACGCATTTGTTTTGTGAAAGACACGCAGCGGTGTATCCGAGTCAGCAGCGCCGAGATACCCGCGCGCCAGACGCGAGGCGGTGGGGGAGCGTGCTGCCGCACGCGCACGTCCCGCTAGGGGGCGCCGGCGCTAGAGGGAGCGAAGATGGCGGAGGGCTGCGCCTGGTTTTTGGTGCTGGGCTCCGTGCTTTTGTGTAACCTGGTGAAAACGCTGCTGCCCAGCATCTCCTCTTCCGTAAGTATTACGGCCCGGGAAGCGACCGTCTCACACGGCCTTAAGGGAGCGCCGTAGCAGTCATGTTTTGTTCATGAATTTATTCTCTCAGTAGATCCCGGACACACGTTACCAGGTTAAAATAGCTGCATTTCACTTATCACACCTTAACCTTTTCGTTTTGGAGATGCAGCAAATGACGCGCGCTTGCGCTCCCAATTAGGCTGTTTTTAATGTGATACTACGGTCGGGTTCCTCGCTGTCATTATTGGGCGCCTCTCATGTGTTTACCCGGCTTGATACGCACACATTTCTGGCCGCAGTCCGTATTAAAATACAAAAACATGTTCATTACGCTGCTTGCACATAGATATTTCAGTCTCCCCACATTCTGTACATGCAGAATGGCCTTTTCCCCCTCCGTAATTGTTCTGGTTATGGACGAAACCTTAGGCCGTGCTAAACTGAAACCACAACAGTGATACATGGACCAAAAGGATTCATTCAATTAAATCATTTCATTTCTAGACAGGTCCTTAATTTTTGACGAGCTATCAGGACGCTACATCAGAAAGAAGCGCGACACCCTAGCATAGGAGAAGAATAATTTTATTACGATGAATAAAACACGTTTTAAAAGCTATAATCCCAATACACCGATCCTGGGTGCATTATTCCTTCGGACAGCTTAATGTTTTACCCAAAGACGCAGCCATGGAGTCAACATTGGAAGGGACCAAGGCCGTAATTATAATACATATTTATTTATTTATTTATTTATTTGGGGGGGGGGCATTGTGAGCACATCTGAATATATGTCCTCCAGTATTATAGTTACAGCCTTGGTTTGACCATATGTTTATTACAGTTATATGTTTATGGCATTGCACACGTTATATTACATCCAGTCCATGCACATATGAATGTGACACAGTTTAAAGAACATTAGAAAGTAATCTTAAGGTAAACACTCAGTCATGGATACGGCATTAGGTCGTGTCTGAATACGAGAAGTGGACATAAAGGAGGGGGTTAATGCCCCTACCTCAATGGCTACACCACCCATGCCTTCCCCAGGGCTTAGATACCAGACCTTCCCTGTCTCCACTCCACACCACCCAAAGGGTGCCTGACTCCTTTAAAAAGAGAAGAAAGAAATTACTGCAGTACTTTTGCAGGGCTCAAATTGCATACAACCTAATTAAAATCGTAATTCTACTTACTTCCAATTTGCACTAACATTTGCCATGCATTGAAACCCCAAAGTCTACTAAAATCTGTCTGCTGGATTTACCTATCCGGTGTCTTGGTAGAAACTGTCTCTCTGTCCCTGCTCTGTCTTGCCGTGCCATATCCACCACCAGTCCAAGTGTTCCATTCTCCAAACTATCAGTCAGTGTCCCTGAATTCAGTGCACCAATTTGTCAAAACTATGTCATCATGTGACCCCCTGTAAAATCCATTTTCATGTTCATAATTACATACACATTTCTCAGACCTCTACACGGATACAGGAACACAGTCAACCTGCTTCATTGTGATGCTGGCATACAAAGCTCTCTTAAATATTGCAAATTTCCCATTAGACTAGGGTTTCAAAGTGGCGGAAACTTTCCTTGGGAAGTTAAGCTGGGGAATTTTAGAAATATTGGGCGTGCAAGCCTCTAGCTTATTTTGGGGAGTTTTTACACACACAATTATTCACTAGCACTTGCTTATACAATGATATCACTGTTAGTACCGTCAAAATGTTTTTTTTCCCCATCTACATTTAAGTTCCCTGTTATAGGCTAACCTATCAAATTTCCATATATTCCCATTAATTCTCATGGAAAGTTTCCAACTTTGAAAATTCCCAGAACTTTGCAACCCTACATTAGACACTCTAAAACTATCATTAGAAAGTACTTGAAGGAACCTGTCTTTGAATGTACTGAAAGGTTTGTCCTGAGGGCTGATTCCCATTTAATCCTTCTCCTCGGAAGCTGTCTAAGGTCTTTCACAAGGATGCGGAGCACGAGCTGGAGATGCGGATGGAGATCCAGGACATGAAGAAGGAGTTGTCCTCCATCAGCATGATGGATGAGTTCGCCAGATACGCGAGGCTGGAGCGCAAGATCAACAAGATGACCGACAAGCTCAAGTCCCTTGGTAAGGGTGAGCACACGCAAAACACATGCCAAGACGATAAATACACATGCACCCCTCGCATCTCGAAGCAGGGATGGGAAGTTAGAAGCCAATGGATCCATCGACAGTCTAAAACAATCAGCGTGGTCAGCAGATGAACAACTTCTCTCCCAACTAGAGATGCACAGATCTGATATTTGCATCGGTATCGGTGCCAATCCAGACCTATTTGACGGATTGAGTATCGGCCATGTGCATCCAATACTTACTTTAGTTTTTGGCTGTCTCTAAAAAGAGCACCTATTTCGTGTTAAATCTATTTGTACAATCAGTCGCACGACAGCGCTTTCCCATTTTAGATGTGTGTTTTGCGGCATTCAAGCTGAACGCTACCTCAGTCTTTTTGCCACTCAGTTGGTGTGAGTTCAGGGACTTCAACCTGCTGTGACATCATGTGCATACCCTTCGCAGTAGGGGGAGCATAAGAACATCAGATAAGAAGCTGACGATCTGGGAATATTTTACGCTTTTAAGTGCTAGCAGCTCGGCGATTTGCAATCTTTGTAAAACCAAAGTTTTGAGAGGTGGAAGTAGCATTTAGCGGAAAATCCCACTAAACAAAGCATGCGCAACTGTGCGAGGCAACGTGAGTTATATGAAAAAAAACAGTGAATGATTTGGGGGTCACTAGCTTGGGCTGTTTTGTGCTATCGCTTGTGATACAGGTGGAGCTGATGCAACGTGTAAGTGATGCCAATGGAAGAAAAACTGGGGGCATTTTGAGCATTGGCCACTTGTGTGTACTCTCTCGCAAGATATTCAAACTGAACTGTAAATGCCTCACGCTTAAAACGATGTACAAACCAGGTGGAACGGTAGCCTACGTTATGTATGTTTCTATTAGCCTAATTAAAGATTTTTTGGCATACAGTTTTTCATCTGTGTTCACTAGTCTAAAAATATTACTAATATATAATGTGTGTGTGTATTGTGTTTTTTTTCTTATATAAAAAGCAAAAAGAGCTCTTGTATCAGAAGCTGTATCGGCAGATGTGTATCGGAATCAGTTCAGAACTGGAAAAATGTGGATTGGCCCACCCCTACTCCCTATGATGGTATGACCTTGTAGATCACGGCCGGAAGGTCATGCTGCTCCTTGTCTGGAGAACGAGCAACCCCTCCCATGCACTGTGATTATGGATGTCCCTCACAGGTTCTCAGAGAGGACATGTTAGTAGTAGATATTTGAATGAAAAGATCATGTAAGCCCTTGAAGGACCAGGAGCCGGATGAGAGGGAAGGTGACCTTGGAATGGGGGATTTCCTGTCGCCCAAGTAAAGCTCGTTTGAGGTGGGGGGTTAGATCCATGTTACTGTCACACTTAAGTACAAGCTCACAGCTGGTGTTTAACGACCTGTTTGGTTGTTTTCGATGGCCCAGTGGTCGGTCCCATGTTTCCTCATCACGTAAAAGACCTTTGGCTGCTCCTTCAGCTAAATGTTGTATTTTATAGCTCTTAAAGTTCATACTGTGCGCTGAGCTAGAAGTCTAAACGTACGATTTTCCTGCTCATTGAAGCTGAAATGTGGTGATTTATGCGACTATCTGCCCTCGTTTATTCTAAACCTCGGCTTCGTTTTTGCAGTGAAGTCGAGAGCTGCCTACCAGGCCAAGGTGAAGTGGGTCGTGAACATAGTGTACCATGTACTCCAGGTGAGCAGCGTTATTACCGCGGGTTTCCTGCAGGGGGCTTTGTGTAGTGGTGGAGTTTCTGCATGTATAATTTCAATGCGCTCTTTCTTTTCTGTGATTGGCCCTCTCTCTGCAGGCCTTGCTGATGATCTCTTTGATCTGGAAGTACTACGCCAGCCCAGTGACGGTCCTCCCCAGCCAGTGGATCGTCCCTCTTGAGCGTCTGGTCGCATTCCCCTCTGGGGTGCCGGGTCAGTGTGTGGGTGATAAAGGGCAGGACATGTAAGCGGGACTTTCAGCTTGCTAACATGGTGCTTTAAACGGAAGGTTGTAGGTTTGAATCACATTAAGTATGAAAATATTTTTGGTTATGTGCTTTTATGACGTTAGAGGTAATACCTGCGGCTGGAATTTTTGTTATACATTTATATATAACTTATATATAGTTATATATTTATTTATACTTCCCTAGTAGTACAGCTAGAAATTTAGACCCAGATAGTTTGGATCACTCTTCACAGTCCACTGGGACTTGAACAGGGCGCCTTGCGGATACAGGGGCGCGTCCTAAACCCGGCCGCGTGTTTCCTGTTGCTCTGATGGTTATCGGGTCTGGACCGTGCATCTGTTCCAGGTGGAGTTGGGATCACGTGCTGGCTGGTGGTGTGCAACAAGGTGGTGGCGCTTCTTCTCCAGGCCGCGGGCTGAGCAGAGGGGACCCCGGCACGTTCTCCGAAGCCCTGGTCCCAGCAGAACATCTCCACATGTCCAAGACTACTTTCCTGCTCTCACTTTCAACCTGCTGGACCTGTGTGTGTGTGTGTGTGTGCGTGCGTGCATGTGTGTGTGTGTGTGGTTGCCTTCAAGGTCACTGCTCTTCCTGTTTTACTCTTGTGTTTGTCCTGAACAGCCTGGCATGTGGTCACATCATCTGTTTGTTAAATTATTACGTTTCCTGGAAAGTTGATTTCTAAATAAGCTCGGCGAAATTCACCCTTGCAGGGGTTCCGTTCCTCGTTAACTGTCACGGTTATGTTTGGCAGAGGGCTGGTGCAGCCTGGTCTCTCCTGCCGTTGTCTGTGACGCATCTATGTGGTGTCCATTCTGTTTTTATACTGCGTCTCTGTGGTGTTCGTGTGGAACATTCCCAGGAGTGTGTCTCTTATTTTTAGCATTTCCGTTTTCTTTTTTTTTTTTTTGTTTTTTTTTTCCTGTGAAATATAAATGGATACAATGCAAAAACGACTTGGGTGTGTGTTTCCTGTTGAAAACTGCCCGCCTTCGGGGGTGGGCAGATTTATCACAACCTGCATCATTCAGCTCGGTCCGTACACACTGGGAGTTACAGGTTTCTCTGCTATCACTCCGCACGTCTGCAACACGGCGCCTGCGTCATTAGACGCCGGTTATCGTTAAAAATGCGTGCAGTCTGCACATCATGTGTGTGACTGGTGAAGATTATCTTGGTGTGAGACCCAGGCTGCACAGAGCCACGCCTCTAAAAATGTTTGTGGGCGGGGCTTAAATGCACATTTCATTGGTCCTTGTTGGTGGACTGGTCACATGGGACGGACGTGATTGGGTAGTTTCAATTTTGCTGGACTATTCATATTGCATCGTGTTATGAAATTTTCAGGGAGACCCCTGAAAATTTTTGCTCTATCCTGTCATTTTTGTCAAAATCCAAAGAATGACTATTTTGTGGTATAAGGCAGGTTTTGAGGGAGCACCATTTTTTGACCCATTTATTTCATGTCCTACCGTCTTCCCAGGAAGGGGTTAATAGTTGCCTCCTAGGTAGCTGCAATGATTACAAGGCAATTTTCAGGGTGTGGTGTCGGGTTTGTTTTGTCTCGCAACCGAACACTGTGACCAACTAGCTTTTAATTATCAGTAGGAGAGATTTGCAAGCCCTTTACCTTAAATAAAAAAACTTCTAGCAACACCTCCTTATGGCCACCAGATGGAGCTATATCCTTTCATGCATGCAAACGTTCAGCTAGCACTACATGCCCAGTTTATATTTAACAAATGAATCGGTCCAGTGCCTGACTGGGATAACGTTTTATATGTGTGTGGAGGGTTACGGATAAACCGCATGCATAACATTGAGTTTCTTTATTTGGCTGGAGATAGCTGGTCTCCTCCTTTTGAGCTGTGTGGTAACTCCTGACTGAAATCAGGTATCTACCCTGTGGGTGTTTTTCACTGAACATCCTACTTTTGTGTGTTCGTGCGGGCGGCTCAATGGCCTCCACAGACAGACACACTCTCTCTCACACACACACAAACACACATATACACAGTCTGTGGAGGTAAAAAGATGACACATCGTGCGATATTACCATGGTGAATTTTTCCAAAGAAGAGAATGTGTTTTTAGTCATTTTAGTAATGGGTTATTTCAAAGTCACTTGTTTCATAATTTAATCTCGTAAATAGTGGAGAGGCTACCTTCTCAACTTCTGTGGACCTGCTGACGCTGGTGCTTGTGGAGTTTGCATGTTCTCCCTGTGTAACACGGATCTTCTGTGGATAATGTGATTCCTTCCCAGTCCAACAACTTACAGTTAGGCTAATCAGTGTCGCTAAATCACCTGTAATGTATAAGTGTGTCTGTCTGTGTGTCTATGTATGTGTGAGTATGTATGTCTGTGTGTGTGTGTGTGTGAGAGAGCGAGAGAGAGTGTCTGTCTGTGTATATATGTGTGTGTATATGTGTGTGTGTGT